AAACCTTCCAGTACTCCGATTGAGTTTAAATTTTTGGGTTGAATTTGTTCTTTACATGGTATCAGAGCCTCTGCGGCCAAATGGTCACGAGTTCGATCATCGTCGCCCCCCATTCAGTTAATAAATAATTAAGTATTGTGAAATTTCTTTGTGCTGGTAGGTTGTGCCTGATGCATTATCCACCCTTCAAGTTCAATGGGCACTCGTGTGAGGGAGCGTGTTAGAAAAATATAAAATTATTAATGTAACCTAACCTAATAGCTAAAACTTTTGGGTTGAATTGATTCTTTACATCTTAAAATGTTTTTTGTTTTAATTTATTCTTACTCCAAGTCCCTAACCACTAAAGTAAAGGCCTGATGAAGGGAGGGAGGTACAGCAGGGAAATGAAAATGTTTTGGAGATCGAGATTTTTAATTTTTAATTATTCATGAAAAATGAAGAAGGCTGAGGATAGGGTACACTGTTATTTGAAGGGAACACACATTTTTTACCATGTGGTGTGCTTTCCAAGCCCTCATTGTTCTGCCTGCTGGCCTATTGGGATAGCAGCCTTCAGCCTTAACCTGCTATGCTCTTAATTTTTTAAAATTCATTTCAACACTGAAAATAAATATACTGAATTTCAATGCAAGTTTGTTTAATTTTATCAACAACTCCTAAGTAGTCTTGCATAGAAATGACATGAGATCATCTTCTTGCCTCTGTTAACTTCTATTACAAGGTACATTGTATTCAAAATGAAATTGATATTCCTGAAAATATTATGATGGTTTTGAAGATCACACTATTATTATTCTGATGATTTTTTTTTTTTTGATCTAATCTGCAGATGAACTTTATCGCTCAGATTTCTTTCCTGGACTAGGATGGATGCTGGCTAGATCTACATGGGATGAACTATCACCAAAATGGCCAAAGGCATATCCTTAATATTTTATTAATTATCCTTGTTTGTTTCTGCCATATTTGTTTATTGGGGGGATTCCAAATAACAAACTCTTGGTAAAAATATTTACCATGAAAGAGTAATAACTAATAACCATTCGGAGTGGTTATTCAAGCAAACTTATTGTACATAATAGCCGTGTTAAGTGTTAATTTTTCCTTCATAGTGATTTTTTAACAAGAGTTCCTTATTTGGGACTCTCCCTTGTTTAATTTGAGTAATATTATGTGTGTATATCAAATTTTCTTTGACAAATTTTCACTTACTGGGATGACTGGTTGAGATTAAAAGAGAATCACAAAGGACGACAGTTTATCCGCCCTGAAGTATGCAGAACATATAATTTTGGCGAGCATGTAAGTTTACTAATTTTATGTTGAAGATTGACCTTTTGTATTAAGTGGTTATATGCTGTGTGAACTTTGCAACCATGTATCCTATAAGCCTCACAATTTTAAGAGCATTTATTGGTCCAGTAAAAGTCATGATACTTTTGTTCAGGGTGATACGCTTCATATTTACTCGAACAGTTGCACATGCTGGGTGATAATAATTTATTTCTTTACAGATTGTAGTCACCTGATTTCTGAATTGAGGAAATCCTTGGCAGCACCTTCTGTTTATACATGATTTACAATCTCTAGTATTAAGCAACTAGGTAAATAAGGAAAAAAGGGAAATTAATGAAAATAATGCAAATCAAATCTCAATTATTTAGTGTAAATTGACTCTCTAAATAGGCGATATTTTCCAATCACTCCCTCTCAAGCTGGGGTATACAAATCATATGCACCAAACTTGTCAAAGATGAAGTGTATTCGAGTTCCCCGGCGACTTTGTGATAATATCATAGTTGTATTCGAGTTTCCAACACTCATTTTTTTTTTTGCTTTTCTAGCAGAATTCCGCATTGTCCTTAGTGTAGATTTTTCCTTCCATTCTTTAAAATGATTTAGAGGGCAATAAAAAGTATTTAAGATATCATAGTAGTTGTAAAGATATTTTTTTTCTTGACATTTTTCCTTGTTACTACCCTTGTTTTTAATTTATCTATTTGCTGCTTAACTTCTCATATAAGCATCACTCCTCATCAAATTACATATCTTTCTATTCTCTTGCCTGGCATCTCTCTACCTATAAAATGTAAATTAATGTTTTAGTAAACTTCTAAGAAAGCCCAGTTTGTTCTAAACTTGCTGTACTGGGTGGTAGTTGGTATATAGGCACTAGAAAGCAAGACCAAGTATATGTTGTCTCTACTTTCAAATCCTTATACATGGATTTTTTTCAAATGCCTTTTTATGTCTTGAAATTTTTACAGGGTTCTAGTTTGGGACAGTTTTTTAAGCAATATCTTGAGCCAATCAAGCTGAATGAGGTCCAGGTAGCTAAGCATGCTTAATACGGTCTTAAATATGTTTCTTATATTAGAATGATGTTATATTAACTTGAATCTTTGGAAGGTTGATTGGAAGTCAATGGATTTGAGCTATTTGCTGGAGGTGAGATGGTGTATTGTAATTGTGTCTGAATGTGTAAAGGAATGCTGTCGTGGTTTGTGAATTTTGTTTTCCACTTTTCAGGACAATTATACTATGCACTTTGCCAACATTGTTAAGAAAGCTAAACCTGTCTATGGAGCTGACATGGTTCTAAAGGCATATAATATAAATGGTGATGTGCGTATTAAGTACAACGATCAGTGGAACTTTGAAAACATTGCTCACCAATTTGGTATATTTCAAGAGTGGAAGGTAATTCAGCTATTTTTGTTCTTAACTTGTAAAAGTTAAAATGCGCATCATGATATGCAATGGAGAGTTCTAAATTTCAATCTACTGTGGCAGATTATACATTGAACTAGTTTTAGCATGCAGCCACCCGGACTCTTGAGTCCTGAATGAAATCTGAAACAAAAGGCTACTTTAAAATCTTGTGTGTCTAAATGTATTAGTAGACTGTAAGAGCCAGAAATGAGGCATGCTATGATAGTTGAGTTAATCTTCACAAATGGATCAGTTCTTACGAATTGCTTAGAAGTTTTCCATTCATGTTTTGGTTTATTGGTTGGGTGGTGAATAGTAAATGCAGTGTTCTGAATCAAGCTTGAACTTACATTTGAGAACACTTTATAATTGTGTGGCCGTGAATATATTATGTGTAGCCGTGCATAGCAGACCCCATCTTTCTGTCCCACGTTATGTAAACTTCGCTATCTTTTGCCTTTTTCTCGTTGATAGATCTAATTTTGTCCTACATTTTTCCGTTGCATTCATTCACTTTCAGGATGGCGTGCCCAGGACAGCCTATAAAGGAGTAGTCGTTTTCAGATATCAAACCACAAGGCGTGTATTCCTTGTTGGTCCAGAATCTTTGAAGCTACTTCAGATTGAAGATTCTTAATGCCGGATGAGGGAGAAAACTGTTAATAGATTAAGAGAGTAGTCGTTTTAAGATATCAAACGAAGTGCTGCTGAGTAATTGATATTGAGCTTAAAATGACATTGGACATGGATACTTCTCATTGTCAAATCCACTGCTTAAAAAGACCATGGTGTGCGCTGAAAGTGTTAAAAATGCATACGAGAATGTGCTGGGACACATTATGGGCACCATCCCATGTATCTTGTAGAGATTGAAATTCTGTCTTATTGTGCGGTGAGGTCGTTGAGTGGCCATGGCATGTCCTATTGATATTATTTTTGAAGGTGTCGCAGAATTGCAATTTAAAGTTACTCTTCATGCACTTCGTGATTTTTCCTTTTTAAGTTTCACTGTCTACAAGATTTAATTCTGAAAGAATGGGTAAAAAACAGAATAAGACGGAACAAAATGACCATCCTCAAACCAGCGGTGCTCTAGTTGGTTGGTAAGTCCATTTCAAATGATATTGAGGTTATCGGCATGGGCCGACCTTAGGATGTCGCCTCTTTTGGTTAAAGTAAACAATTAACTGTTATAGTTTTACTGATTTACCTTTTGATTTAATTTATTTTTTTAGATATTGAACTTTATTATTTTTCTTTTTTGAATTTTGGTCTCAAAAACCAATACCTTAGTAATTGAAAACTATAATTCTATATAGGATTAATTTTTGAATGAATAGAAATTATAAAAATTAAATTCTAAATATTGAAAAATATAAGAATCAATGCCTTAATGGTAGAGATTAAAATTTAATTTTAACCACTAGGGTTAGCCTAGTGGTGTGGAGTGTGTGTGTTAAGAGTGTGTGTAGTGTAGGGTGTTGTGTTCAATTCCTTGTAACCTTAAAAAAAAAAAGATTAAAATTTAAATGGGTGCAAACATAAGGACTGATACAAAAAAGAAAAAATTAACAATAACGATCAAAATAAAAATTGATCACGAGAAAATATCCAACCCCTCCTCCCTTTTTTTCGGCCCAAGAATGAGATTCCATGAATATAAAATTGTTTCATTTTGATGCGTTTTTAAACTTGTTTCATTTTTTATTTAAATTATTGAATATAAACTTAAATAACATTGATTTATTCTTGTATGATTAAGATGTTAAGTAACACGTGAAATGACAAAATCTACTCCCATAGCCATGAATCAATAATAATAATGAATAAAGAAAGAAAAATACTGAAATAGAAAATGGAATAAATAATTTTACCTACTTTTTTCATACCTACTAATCCCTAACACTATTAAATCAAAATCTCAACTAACCTTCACTATTTCTCTTTTCTTTTGAGATTATGATATTGAAAATTGATAGGCAAAATAAACATAAAAAAAGAGAATAAAATAACCCATCCCATAAAAAATTAGAAAATCATCATCAATTTCCGTAACGTACTCAAATAAGAATCTTAAAAAGTAACACATGATCCCATGGAGTGAATGAAAATTTTCTATCATCGTATAATTGTTTTTGTCGTCGCTGTTATTGTTGTACCTATCCCAAAATCCTCAGTTCACCATATACTTGCCATCTTTGCCATATATTCCATAAAAAGAGCAGGTCATTTAAAAATTTCGACTTCGAATAACAGGAAAACTAAGAAGTATAAAAAGTACCATAAATGAACCACAAAAATGAAAGTTTTTTACAGAAACACAGTTTCTTGTTTCTCAATCTCAACCCACGAAAAGGAGAGATTAATAGAAAAGAAAAATTGAAAGAGGAAAAAATATCAAACAAAAAACGTAGATGAAAATCATTAAAAGGTACTGTCAAAACTTTCAATTTATCATATCCCTAAGTCAGTTATGCTTAGCAGCGTCAACCTGCTTTGCTCCGACAGAGAAGAACTCGATGATCACTTCCAGTGGCATGCCCTTGGTTTCTGGAACTTTCAAGAAGACAAACACCCAAGCGATGAAACACACAACTGCATACAAACCAAACACACCACCGAGGCCTATAGAATTAAGCATAACTGGGAGTGTGTAGGTGACAATGATGTCACAAATCCAAAAGGTAAGAGCACATATGGCAATGCAGAGACCACGAACTCGGGTGGGGAAGATCTCTGCACAAAGTATATTAGGAATTGGCCCAAATCCCATGACAAAGAAACAGAAATAGACAACAACACTAATGGTTGAGATTGCTGCATTCGCAGTGCTGCCCAAATCCACAAAACTCCCTAGAACTAATACGAGGAGAGATACTATCAAGACGGGGATTGTGCTGAGCAGCAAAGTCCTGCAGGAAGGAAAAAGAGTATCACTATGCAGTACTGCAACTGAATGAACATAAACAAGTAATGGGGGAAAACATGAGGAATCACAATGCCGGGATACTAACACTGCACAGAGCAAATAACTCCACAAATATTAAGCACTTACGGATAGCATTTACCTTTGCTCTGAATCTTCCGACCCATCCCAAAATTATAAAGATAATGATTTTAAAAATTAAATGTGAAGGCCAGTTTTTAAAAACGCACATTATTCTTGACAACCACAAGAACTACTGAACTAAAACAGCCCAATACCAATATAACTTCAGCAGTAAAACATACATATGGATAGAGATAGCCATAGAAAAGATGGTTCATCAAACAACTAGAGAAACACCGTACAATAGCACAATTTAGTATCTTCGGTGAATACCTTTTTATAGGAATACAAAACTAAAATAAAATAAATGAAAAGCTACACCTTACAAGTGAAAAGTTTTTTTTTTTTTTTAAATCACTCCCCTGACTACCAAGGGTAATTCTTGTACGCAGCCTTACTGTTGCATATTTTTGCAAATAGACTATTTCTCGGATTTGAACCCATGAGCTTTCAGTTACAAATGAGCAACTCTGACACTATTCTAAGCTCGCCCTCATAAAAAAAATTTAGAAAATGAAAAAGAAAGAGGGCCACTGAAACCAGCACAAACCTCATGAATATCTTAATGAGACTTGATACAGCGAAGAGTAAAAAAGTCAAACTTACCTTGTTATTTTCATGAGAAAACCCCCACCAACATACATCCACTCTTACAACATATTTCTTACGATTTGAGCACGATGTCAATTGAAAATGGTAAGGGGGAGATGAATACCTTCTGCCAGAAATATCCATGAGCCTCATAGCAACAGCTATACAAGGAAGCATCAACAAGGTTGTCACAGCACTAATAAGAAAAGATGCAGAAGTAGAACCAAGGCCCAGGTTTGAAAGAAGATAACCAACACCTGCCTGCTCAAGAATTTGAGGTGTATAGTAGAGGACCCCATTTATACCAGCAAACTGCATTGATTCAAAGAGTAGTTAAATGAGAGTCCAGTATAACTTTTCACCAGTGGCATTACTGGTTGACATAAAGATGTTCAACGATTGGCTAATGAATAATAACTTATTAACTTAATTAGCCACTTGAGTAGGTAAATTGTTCCCAAGCAGGAAATATTTTTATCAAGAATTTCCTTTTCACATTTTTACTTTTATAATAGAACACTGCAAACTTTGTATGTGTTGAGATATATAGTCTCACATTGGTTGTATGTGCAACTAATGTGGAGTTTATAAGACCTTGGGCACTCCCACCCTTTGAGCTAGCTTTTGGGGTGGTGTATCCCAAGGTTCTTTACATGGTATCAGAGCCTCGCCGCCCCCCACTTTCTCTTGTGGCGTTTCTTAGCACAGGTAGGCTGGGCCTGTTGCATTGTCCACTCTTCAAGCCCAATGGGCTTTCGTGTGAAGGGGCGTGTTGAGATATATAGTCCCACATTGGTTGTATGTGCAACTAATGTGGAGTTTATAAGACCTTGGGCACTCCCACCCTTTGAGCTAGCTTTTGGGGTGGTGTATCCCAAGGTTCTTTACAGTATGCATAATCATTTCATATTAACATCAAGTAGAATTCAAAAAATATTTTTCAAATCCAGCTTGAACCATTTCCATACCTTTCCTAATTTTACATTTGAAAAAAGACTTGCTCTAACAATACCCCAACTAAAACAATTTCACTCTCATAACTTTTCAGATAACATCTCAAACGTAATTTTTTTTTCACAATACTCTTTTATAAACCAATAGTTGCAGACATGTTCCCTTCAAAAATTCAAAATCTCACAGCAAGCCCAAACACATTTTTTGGGGCTCAAAGAAACAGACACTGTTGAGACTTGAAACAGAGACCATTTGAGAGGAATTGTGTGTATTAGATACAAACCACCAAAAACCTATATATATTACAGATCTGGGTCAACTACTAACGTAGTACAACTAGTACAAGCCCTAGCCCAATAAGACTACTAACATTATAAGACTCCTAAAACACTAAGAGTCCTAATATTCTAACAAAAACAATACAGAGGTGATCATATCAGATTTATACTTAAGCTGTATAAAAAAATTGCACAGGTGTTATAAAGATAGGGGACGACAGTAATCCCAGTCCTTGCCTGTTCAACATTTTCAAGAAAGTGAACAGATGAAAACAAGCACTAGTAACCACCACTTGGATACAATACAATGTATGTTTCATCCCAAGGCAAGGAAAAAAAGGTACTAAAGCACAATGTTACAACCGATGGAAACAAAAAACAGAAGATAATGAAAATATGTCCTTACCTGCTGAAGAATTTGAATTCCCACCCCCACCATCAATGCATGCTTCACCCCAGGTTCAAAAAGATCACTCCAACTTGGCCCTTTTGCGGCTGTTTCAGATGGATGAATCATGGCTGGTCCAACTGGCTGCTGATGCATAAGCTCCTTGTTATAAAGGGCTGGCTGACTCACCAGAGCAGCAGCCTGTACAACCTCACCATCTGTTGGCATATCACCACCAGGAAGTGAAACCACAGACCCACGTCTAGATCCAGAACCACCCTCTTGGTGTAAATATATTCTCTTGAAACCACCTTCCTTCTTTCCATCTGGGCCTTCTCGTTCAGACCATTTCCATGCTAGCTGCCAACCACCACCAATTCCAGTACTACCTGCAGGTTCTCCTGCATTTCCTTGTAAAAGACTACCTTGCCTCATGCTTGAAAGACTACCATGAGCAGGAGGGGGTATGTCCTTATCCAAACTCGTTGTTTGACGTGAGATTAATGGAGACTGCAAATTGTCATCAGAATCACCAGCGGCAGCATCAGACACATAATCATCACCCTCTCTGGCAAGGCTTTCTTCATCCCAATCTTCATTCCTGGGCTGATTTCCCCCAACACTAAACATGCTTCCAAAGTGTGGAAAAAGGGTGCTTCCCGTTTCTGGGAGCTTCTCATGGACACTACCAAAGAGGGTCACTAGAGGGTCCACTAGACCACTCTGATTTATCATGCTTCCTTTCCGAGATGCAAGGCCAATAGAGCTTTGTCCGGTGACAGGTTTGGCAACCCAAGACTGACCTTGTTCGGGCCCATACAACTTGATCTGATCTTTTCTTGTAGATGGATCCTCTTCATCAGCAAATTCATTGGCTGGACCAATTATGTACTCTTCTATGGCTGTATCACCCCCGACTCCAAGACCCTCAACCAGTAAAGCCATCTCACCTGCTCATGCCCAAAAACAATTATCATCAAAAACATGCATATACATAAATTTATTACTGCAATAGAATCAAAAGCATGTAAACAATATGAAGTTACCAGGCATATCAAAAACCAGAATCCACAAAGGATCAAGATCAACTACATGCATCTAAACTGGGGGAAAACGAGAAAATAAAATAAAATAAAATAAATAAAGAGATGATTACCAGTTATTCCAACTGAAGCTTCTAAAGTTATCACATTTTACAATAGTTTTTTTTTTAAAAAAAAATAATGAATAACAGAAATATTTCTGTTTCTTCGTTTGAATGATAATAGTTTCCCCCTCCACCTTTAAGAATGAATTAAATATCTATAATCCAATTTACACAAAAATATCAATCACTGATGGACCAGGCTGTAATAACAATCTATGGTTCAGTGTCATTCTGATACAGTTCTGCCAAGTAGAAAGTTTGGGAGGGTGTATGAGAGGAAGAGGCACATGGGATTATTGCCAATTACATGTGTTGACTCAGCATTAGTTACCAAGGCAAGGAATAAGTTGGTTAGGGTCACACTTTTAGCATCACACGAAGGCTAGGATATATAGAGGAGAAAAGACTATTTTGAAGCATCTTTGGGCATTTGGAACCTTGGGAACCTTAGGGTGATTTGGGAGAGACTAGGGGCTCTAGAATTCCTCTAGAATTATCCTTTACTGATTTCCTTACTGTTAGTTAATTTCCAGTTCATTGTATTTTTTCTTCTTCTTGTAATTTGTCTCTGAATTACTGTATAAGCTGTAGTTGTCTCTGGAAAAATATATAAAAATCTGATTATTCAGACCAAAGTCATTGCTCTTGGTGTTATTTTTGTATTTGAGTAGAAGGTCCTTATCAATTGGTATCAGAGCTTCCGATCTGGGAGCTCTGTGAACCATGGCCACGCTTGGAAGAAAATTACATAGAAGCAAAGTTCCCAAGTTCTATGGAGACAGCGAAGATGATGAAGCTTGGGGATGGCTGATCTATTTGCAACAATTTTTCCAGATAGAAAGAATCAATGAAGATGAGAAGTTGAAGGAAGCTGTGAGAGGGCTTAGAGCGAGTTCTTTCAGTTGGTATCAAGGTTGGAAATGGTTCAATCCTAATGCAAGTTGGAGTGACTTTGAGAAGGCATTAATAGAAAAATATCTACCAGAAATTATTTTGGTAGATGATGCAGATTCAGAATGTAAAAAATCAGAATCCCAATCAAAACAAAAATCTGTGTGGGAGGAGACGGAGACCATGCACAAAGGAACGAGTATAGAACAGAATAAGGCTGATGGCATAAACATAGTAAAAGGGAAGAAGGAGGAGATCATGGAAGAGGTAGAAGAGGAGAGGGAGATAATCAAAAATCTGAAGAAGAAACAAATCGTGGTTGTAAATCTGCCCACAGAAGCAATATGCGTAGAGAAATACTATCACATGGACGCTGAGAATAAATCGCAGCAAAATCCCAAGGAAGAAGAGGAGAAGGATGTTATTGATGGAAAGAAGATTGATGACATGCAAGCTATGGAAGAAAGCAAAGGATCAGAGACCGCAAGAAGAATTTTAATGCAAGGGACGAAGCACACGATTGCAGAGCAGGAGCTAGAAACCCAGAAAAATGGGATAAATGATGAAGACATGAGTGTGAAAAAGATTTCGGACGAGATGGTGCATGAAATGACATCACAACAGCCACCTGCGGTAGTGGTCCAGCTGCCCCCCTTACCCAAGCCACCAGACTTGAAGTTGTCGAGGAAGGATGACGGCAGATTGCAGGGCAACCATGAGAGCTGTAAGCCGCTGCAAACAGAGGAGAATGGAGGAAAGGAACGTTCTAGGTTAGAAATAGTTAAATTGGGCCAATGTGCTGGCCTATGGGGTAATGCCCAAAATACACTCAATATATTCCCAGTCCAAATTGATTTTATTTCTCTTATAACATTTTTTCCTAGTGAATCTATAGTTGGGCTTGAGCTAACTGGGCCCCAAAAGCCAAAAATCAATGACTTGCTGCAGAACTTTAATGATGGACATTTCCAAACCCAACCCAATCCTTTTACTGGTGTTTGGTGTGAATGGGAATTTAAGCCCATAATTCTATCTCAAATCATGAAACCTAGAACAACGTATTCCGATCCAGCAAATCAGCATCATTTTTTTTGATCCGCTACGTTTGGGACAACTACGAGGTGGTGCTCCGCCAAGACGAAAATGAGTGTTACGTCTGCAAATTGGGTTTCGGTATTAGTGTGGTGTCCTCGAATTCGCAAGTAATGTTGAATGGTGACCTGTCGAAGGAGAAATGGAAATGGAATGAGTGGGACGACAATTTCCAAGTGCACATTACATTGGTTGCTGATTTTCAGAATGGATTTACAAGGTTAGTGTCAGATATGCTTAAACGATGCTGCCCTGGGTCTTATATAGCAGCTTATGCACCCAAACATGAGACTCTTGAATGCTGTAAGGGACAACAATGGGAAGAAAAGCATGAGGTAAAGGTTATTAATGTCCGATTAAAACCTGATGAATATAGAGCGAGAAGGTGTTTGATAAAATTCCTCAGAGAAGTATGATTGCTTGGATTTCAATGATTTTCGGTTATGAATTCAACAAGTTCTCCAACGGCCCAGTGACACTATCTCACAAGATGCGGGTTGATGTTGATTATGCAATTTTTGAGGCTGTCCATGCAGGAACCATGATGAGGCCATCACTCAAACTGTTTCGAGACAACTCTCCATTTTGTCCATTTGATGTGAGCATGACTAAGCAATGTGCAATTGAATTAGTTTCTAAATTATTTTGTGGTTTGACTCTACTTGTGCTCAAGGGTGATAAGGGAATGACGACAAAAATGCTATGGGATCCCGGAGGAAATCATTGCACTTTTGTCATAAGTTGTCGTTTGCAATTCAAGCAATGGGATCCCGGTGGAAGGTGCTTGAGGGATAAACCTCACCTTGAGGACAAGGTGAGTGTTTAAGGGGGGAGTATTGATACGGTTCTGCCAAGTAGAAAGTTTGGGAAGGTGTATGAGAGGAAGAGGCACATGGGATTATTGCCAATTACATGTGCTGACTCAACATTAGTTACCAAGGCAAGGAATAAGTTGGCTAGGGTCACACTTTTAGCATCACACGAAGGCTAGGATATATAGAGGAGAAAAGACTATTTTGAAGCATCTTTGGGAATTTGGAACCTTGGGCACCTTAGGGTGATTTGGGAGAGACTAGGGACTCTAGAATTCCTCTAGAATTATCCTTTACTGATTTCCTTACTGTTAGTTAATTTCCAGTTCATTGTATTTTTTCTTCTTGTAATTTGTCTCTGAATTACTGTATCAGTTGTAGTTGTCTCTGGAAAAATATATAAAAATCTGATTATTCAGACCAAAGTCATTGTTCTTGGTGTTATTTATGTATTTGAGTAGAAGGTCCTTATCACATTCTTGATATCTCTCACAAATGAACAAGGAAACAATTTTGCCAACTGGAACAGATTAGGTTCATAGAATACAAATATAATCACCCAAAAGTGAACAACTGAATATCCAGCATACGCTGGCCGGCCTTTAAAACAATCCTAAAGGATAAGACAAAGTGCATGAAGCTAAGATCTAATTTGAATACCCAAAGTAGTAGAGCATGAAAAAATGAAGGAAAAGCAAGTAATTGGAGAATAGAAAACATAGAACTAACCAGCAACATCTTCCCTTCCACGAAGGCGCTGCAAAACCTTCTTGGCCTCAAGCATACGGCCTTTACTGACAAGCCATCTTGGAGACTCAGGCAAGAACAATATTGTGAGTACAAAATAAATGAGAGAGGGGATTGAAAGAACACCCAACATGAGTCTCCAGCTTGGAGCCTTGGTTAAGGACATCCCAAACACCATACAGTAGGAGAAAAACATTCCAGCGGAACCAGTAAACTGTGGAAGTGTATTGAGTAATCCCCTAATCTCAGGAGGAGCAATCTCAGAAATATAAAGAGGTACCAAGGTAACTGCCAAACCAATTCCTAAACCATCTAAAAGTCTTGCAAAGAGGAGGATATAAACATTTGGGGACCATAGCATCACAAGAGAACTAACAAAATAAAGGACAGATGACATAATCAACATGGGACGTCGGCCTAGCAAGTCTGATACAGGTCCGGAGCATGTAGTAACCCCGGTGGCCCCAATAAGTGACATAGCCACAATCAGACCTTCAACTGTGGGTTCACTTTCTAATTGAAACTCCCTCTTTATGTACAAAATAGATCCTGCATAAATTGTCAGGCTATTAGCTAGATCGCTACATGAAAGAAACAAAATTAATTAACTAACCAAATTGTAAGATTAGGGGAACAGACCTGCAATAGTCGCATTATCCCATCCTTGTAGTAAGTTACCGATAGCAGCAGCAACAGCAACAAGAACAGCTCCACTCATTGTTTCGTAATTAATCAGCCTGAAAGCGCAAATAAGATCAGCTCAGCTCAACTCAACTCAACTCAACTTAACCACTATACTAACAGATTCACGATCCCTAACCCTAAGCATAATTGATGGATGAAGAGATAGGTCACAGATCCAGAACCATTTTCATACCTAATCAAATCAACTTGGATTGGAGCGTCACTTGGGTGTTTCAGATGCAGGAAATGACATGGGAAGGGGTCATCAGGATGATAGTGCGCTACCTCTTTCCTTTTAGTTTTTTATTTTTATTTTTTATATATATATTTTATTACTAAAATATAAAAACTAATACTAGGAGTGCAGTCACAAGACAACGAAAGGCGTATAGAAAACAACACAAGTAGCGATCCTATTCGCCGGGTCGAAAAGTAAAGAGTGTAATGAAATGAAATTGAGCCCACTGCAACAAGTGGACACCTGCCCTTGTTGCTCTCGCACTGCTCTGCACGTCACCACCCTCCCCGATCGGAATTCTGTTACCAATTCAAACTTCATTCAGAAGACACACTTTACGCTTCAATATCGCTTTCATAAAAATAGATCATAACAAGTCCTGTACTTTTCTTCGAGGATCGATTCCCAAGTGTAAACAACCAATACGTAATAGCCATGTGTTGGTTGCCTTGCACGTTGCAATAATAGCCCGGTGAACGATCCTTTTCGAGATGCTTCGTTAATAAGGGGAAGGATCCACTTATAACCAAAAAAGTTTACAACTTTTACCATCAATTTAATCACAGTTGATTTCTATCAATCTAACGGTTATAATTTATTGGAAATTAATAAATGTGACATAATAAATATTATTAATTTTCAATAAATTATAATCTTTAGATTGACAGAAATCAACGGTGATTAAATTGGTTGTAAGAGTTGTAAACTTTTTGGTGGTAAGTGGATCCGTTCCCCAATAATAATACTTTTTTAAACGGTGTTTAATAATATTTTATTTCATTCGAGAGTCGTTAGATCAAAAAAATCAACGACTCTGATTTATAAGTATGTGACACAATCAATTTTTTTTCATCTGACGGCTCTCGGATGATGTGTCAAATTTCAAATTTGACACTAGTATCAAATTTGAAATTTGACACCTCATCCGAGAGCCCTTAGATCAAAAAAGATCAACGACTCTGATTTGTAAGCATGTGACACAATCGATTTTTTTTATCTAACGGCTCTTAGATTAGGTGTAAAACTTCAAATTTGACACTCGTGTCAAATGATCCTACCTCTATATATATATATATATATATATATATATATATATATTATTTCCAATTTGACACCAGTGTCAAATTTGAACCAATTTGACACCAGTGTCAAATTTGAAGTTTGACACCTTATCTGAGAGTCGTTAGATCAAAAAAGATCAATGATGTCACATGCTTACAAATAAGAGTCGTTGATTTCTTTTAATCTAATGACTCATAATATTTCTGATACAGGAAATAAAATTATCTCGTACATTTCTTAAAATTACATCATTTTAAGGGCTTGAGAATTAATAAAGGATGTTTTGATAATTTTTTTATTTTTTTATTATATAAATTTTATCAAACACCATTTGTTAGTTCTATCAACCTTCAAAATGAGTAATTTTAGAATTGCAGGAAATAATTTTATCTTCTATGATAAAAGAAACCATAAACTTATATATATATATATAGGGAAATATTTTTCTTATGTTGTAGGAAAAAACTACCTCATGTTGTAGAAATAAAAGTATAAGTGGGACCCACAGGTAAGAGGAGAGAGAAAAAAAGTGGTGGGACCCAACCTTTTTTTGTGTGTGCAGGAGAGTTGTTTATCTCATGTAAAATGAGATAAACATAACCCATATATATATGGGTTCGTTTTTTCTACAATCAAGATAGATAACTTTTTTACATTGAGCCTAAAACGACGTTGTTTCGAGACGGGAATCAAGGTACTTTTGTAATTATAATTTATTTCAGGATTATAATAAGTCTTTTTCATTATAATTTTTTAATTTTTCAACTTAAAACAACGTCGTTTTTGGAGCGAATGTAGATAACTTATCTACATTCACTTTAGAAACATTAAAGCCTATATATTGTAAAGAACCTTGGGATACACCACCCCAAAAGCTAGCTCAAAGGGTGGGAGTGCCTAAGGTCTTATAAAGGCCACATTAGTTGCACGTACAACTAATGTGGGACTATATATCTCAACACGCCCCCTCACACGAGACCTCATTGGACTTGGAGAGTGGACAATGCAACAGGCTCAGCCTACCTGTGCTAAGAAACGCCACAAGAGAAAGTGCGGGGCGGCGAGGCTCTGATACCATGTAAAGAACCTTAGGATACACCACCCAAAAGCTAGCTCAAAGGGTGGGAGTGCCTAAGGTCTTATAAAGGCCACATTAGTTGGACGTACAACCAATGTGGGACTATATATCTCAACATATATATATATATATATATATATATATATATATATGATTTCGTACTTAAAAAACAAATGACTTAAGGGCCGTTTGTATTTACTTTTAAAAAAAGTTCTTTTTATCACTTCCTTATTTTAAAAGTACTTTTTATAAAAGTTACAGCTATTTAGATTTTTAAAAAAATATTTGATTTTTGAAAAAAAATATTTGACTTTTGACTTCTGCTTTTTTGATAAGCTAAAATTTGTAGCTTTCGAAAAAAGTAAGTTTTTGGCTTTTTTTATGACTTATACTTTTTTTAAAAATAGACATCCAAACAGACTTTTTTCGACAAGTGCTTTTTTTTCTTAAAAAAAAACAGCTTTTGAAGAAAAAAAAAAGTTCATCCAAACGGGCTCTTTGTCTCCTCTGACTATAACGGAGTCGCTGCAATTTGCTTTGCATGCTTTAGTGCACAGGTTTTATATTTAATTTCTATTCTCTTTGTACGAAGAAATCTAGTTCAATATAATTTAATTTTATTATAAAAATAAGTATTTATAATTAAAAGGGAAGGGAAAAAGACTTCTTCGATTGTATTCTCATGTAACTTCTTCACACGAGTTATAAACCCTTAAAAAAAAAGAAAAGTTAAAAAATTTCCGAAGAATTTTTTTTAAGATGTATATTAACTTTTTAATTTTCTTATTTTATTTTTTAATTATCCTTATTTTATTTCTGCTTTACCTTAATTATTTATCCTTATTTCATAAGTTTTTTTTTTTATTTTAGGTTAAAAAAAACTTTTGAGTTAAGAAAAGGGTAAATCAAAAATTATGTTTGTAAGATAACTTTCCTACACACATAATTTTATGTGGATCTCATTTTTTAATTCTCTCTCCTCTATCTTTTCAATTGTATGTGCAGAAAAATTATGTTACATCGTATAAGAAAAATTATGTTACATCATATAATATAAGGTTTTATTAATTTCATATTAAAGGAGATAAGTTATCTCATATTGTAGAGATAAATTTGTAGGCTTCACCACTTGAAAAAATAAAAAGGTGACACAGTTATCGAAGGATGTGTAGGAGAAATTTTTTATCTCAACTACCCTCGAACCGAATAGATGGAAAATAGTTTTTTCCTATAACATAACTTTAAAGTTTACAAGAGAAATAAAAGGAGAAGTTGGGCGTCAACCGTTGATTCAGTTAATCAGCTGCAGTAACCGAATAGATGGCATGAGAGGTGAGGCTGGGGTGGTTAAGTGAGGAAGGTGAGGGGCTGGATAGGGGTATGTGGAATCTTGGTTTGGACTTTGGAGTAGGAAGAGAGTAGAAGTTTACAAGAGAGTAGGAAGAATGACGACTTGGTCCCCAAACATTAGAGTGGACCACAGAAAAATGAGAAACACCTTGACGACTAAGACGACTCGGAAACGTACTACGAGTATGTTTCCCAAACTGATAAGACTCACAATTTAAAATAGAAAGAGACGATAAATGGGAAACCATCTTCTGAAGCTTTGCAAGAGTAGGATGGCCCAGACGAGCATGGATAGTAAGAGGAGAATCCACAGTGGAGCAGGCTGAAGAAGAGGGAACTAGTTGATAGAGGCCCTGAGACTCACATCCTTTGGTAATCTCCTTCCCCAAACTCCGATCTTGAAAAATGACAGAGGTTTTAGTAAAAGAAACAATACAGTCAATGGATTTGGTCAACCGACTAACAGAAAGTAAGTTAAAAGAAGAATCGGGAACATATAGAACATGATCCAGAGATAAATTAGGTAAAAGAAGAACCGTGTCAATCCCCCTTGATTGGACCAAAGACCCATTGGCCATAGTAATAGTGGGAAAAGAACCAGTAGTACAAAGGGAAGTGAATAAGGACTTATTACTAGAAATGTGATCAGAAGCCCCAGAATCTAGAGTCCAAGGGCCAATAGAGTGCAACTGAGATATGCCAGCAAAAGAATTACCAGAATTACCAGTGGGAGCAATGGATGCAGTAGGACCTGATGTTTGCTTCTCAGACCACCAAGTCACAAATTCGTTCAGAAGAGCAGTTGGAGGTTGTGCACTGGAAGGTAACTCTGGAGTAGAGGTACTAGAGAAAGCCTGAGCAACATGAGCATTCCGAGAAGGTGGAGGTGGCCTTCCATGAGGCTTCCAATAACGGTCAACAGTATGATTGGTCTGATGACAATGAGTGCATAACAGCTCTCCTTTAGAGAATCGACGTCCACGTCCATACCCTTAGGCAGCAAGAGCGAAAGAGTCAACAGAATCTTCTCTACGTCCACGACTATACCCTTGAGCAGCAAGAGCGGAAGAGTCAACAGAATCCACTGGGGTTATAGGCATCATAGGAGGTGTTGATGACGTAGAGGGCTTAGAGGGAATTCTAAGCAAGGTAGACATCACGGAATCCAGTGTAGGAACTGTAGCAGATCCCAAAATTTGATCCCGATTGGCAGACAAATGGTCAGGCAAACCATATAAAATGAACAGCATAAACAGTGTATTACGTTGTTCCTGTTCCTTAGTAACATCACCAGTGAGAGGCAGAAGTTCATTAAGATCATGAAGTAGACTCTGAGCTTTCCCCAAATATTCAGTCATAGGACAATTGAAGTCCCGAGGAGCAAAGGTAGTCATCAATTTCTGACACACACCATAGAGTCTCTGGGTATCATTGATGTACAGTGGTTTTGCCTGACTCCAAATAGCTTCACAAGTAATAGCAGGTCAAAAAATCTGCTTGATAGACGGATGAATAGTAGCTTTAATGAGACTACACAACTGAGCATCAATCATCTTCCACCGTGTGCGCTCCTTTTCCGCCACAGATTCAGCCTTAGTGGTGAGATGGGATGTATAATTATGCCCATCCAACCAAAGTCGCAGATCGGAAGACCAAGTGTCATAGTTGGACCCATCCAATTTATCTACACTCAATGGAGCAAGGATATAAATGGAAAAAATAGTAGACTCCAACTTTTGTCCAGACGGAGTCCCAGAACCAGGAACATTGGAGACATGAGGGTCCATAA